TCAAACTATTCCTTCTTTCGGTGTTGATTCTAACTTCAGGTAGGTGTTTATACCACTTTAATTTCTTTTTAGATAGGAAGAACGTATCCCTCTCAATATCGATATTGCCTCTCCATTTAGCATCGAGATATCCAGCTATTCCATGCAACTTTAGAAGTGTCTTGATAATTTGTTATCAGCTGCGAACAATTACTTTGGGCAAATGAATTCTTTGATTTAAAACTACTCATACAAATCATATAAGAATTCCACTTCTTTTCATCCGAACTGATTATTTCCCTTATTAAGACTTTGTGGAATTAAATTTTAAAAAAAGCCGATCATCCGTCTATTGTTTTCCACAAATATTGAAAAAGTAATAGACAATCGAATGTAGTACAGGAGCAAACGCTACTGATGAAATGGATAGGGTAATGCCTGCACTAATTTACTTTAATCAGAAATGCTTCAGAAAAAAGCATTTTATAAATTCCGTTTAATCAATTATGTAAAAGATCTGAGCTGTCGACAAATGTACATTTAGGATATGAGAATCGGTGGCAAGACTATCTCTAGAAGAATGATTCATTTTGAGGTATTAACCTTATTTCATATTCTATTCGAGGAAGCTCTTTGTTTTTACAGTAAAGAATAAAGTAGTTAGTAAGAAAGAATTATTCGGGAAAGGAATCTATGCGAATAAAATTATTTATTTGCGTAATCCCATATGCGTCACCGATAGCAACTTCGACTTTGAACAGCAAAGGAAGGTAGTGTATTTTCAACTTTTTCTACACGACCAGTACTAACATTATTACTTGTGAGAGTATCAATGCAGATTCGATGTAACATGTTAAATAATTCAATTTAATTTCAGATTTTCAATCCATTTTCCAATTTTTTAATACGGTTTAACCTATTTATAATTGTGCTGACATTTTTACAATTTGTAATTTTTGGAATCAATTGCATGAATTTTGCAAGAGAAATGTGGGCTTACTGTAATTTCAAAATAAGAGAGTTAGAAAGGAATCAAACCTTTAGCTGTAATTTGTTAGAGTTACTTTTACTTTTTCAAGAATTTTTGGCTATTCATCATGGTGGTCTGTTGTTTTTCTGTTCGACCATCGAGGTAGTCCATTTAGACCATCACATGGACTGATCTATTCAGTTCATCTCCTTAAATTGCTACAAAAATGCGCTTGTTCTTTTGTCAAATGTTTTTCCCTCTAACTGATTTAGTGAAATTTGCCGAACAGTAATTCGTTTTTTCACTAAGTAAGAAGTTTCTATGCGTGCTAATGTCGCCTCAGCAAAGAAATAAGAAAAAAGTTTTCTTTTTTCTCAGCTGAATACTTTATTTTCATTTTCAAACTTATTTCCTGACATAAATTTTACTCATTAAAGACGACCTATAAATCTATCCAGATTTGTCCAACTCCTTAACTTCCACTAACTGTCTTTCCCTCAAAATTTTCCATATTTCTACATCTGTCAGTCTGTCTGCTAGTCTATTTATCCATAGGTTTATGCAAAATATGCAACGCAAATAGGCCATGATCAGTTCACTTTCGGTTACTAAGGTATTGCGCAATCAGCAGCAGCAACAGCAGCAACAGCAGCAGCGGTAGCAGTAGCAGTAGCGGCAACAGCAGCAGCGGTAGCAGTAGCAGTAGCGGCAACAGCAGCAGCGGTATTTGCGACAAGCAGAACCTAACAAACACATTTTTCTACCTTTACAAATGCTTATTCCAACGGATTGATGTTTATTCATTTCCTGCTCCTAGAAATTCTACTTCTACTTCTCTTCTAGCTTATTACTCTTTTTCTCCACAAAATATTTTATCTTTGGCCATTGAACTGCTTGTCCTTAAACAGTACTTCTTCTTTACAAGGCCCTTTATGTAACATTTAAAGTGATAGAAATTTCAGTAAAATAATGCAATTCTAGGTTATGTAAAATATACTAACAGCTTGTAAGTCGGATCGAAGTGATAACTGATTATTTGTTAAAAGAGGCCCTTTCTAATTTGGCCAGGCCATAATTTTGTATATAAATGCGAAGCGATGGGCTCTTGCCAGAGCCAGGAAGCTCAGGAGCAACTTGCTCGAAACAAGGCCATCGAAAAACAACTGAACCAGGATAAACGTACTGGTTCTTCAATCGTCAAGTTACTACTGCTAGGTTGGTATCCCACTTTTTCTTTTAATTTTTCCGTTGTTTAATCCTCGCAGAAATCTAATTATCATTATTAAGATTTCACAATCTTTAATTTAACAATTTAATCTTACGTAAATTTAGTCAAATTATTACTTTTGAAATGAAATTTATTGTTTTGTTTTGTCATTATTCAAGTGTTGTTAGACGAAACTTTTATAATGAAACTAAATTCATTGCTTATGAAGTATGAAATTCTAATTGATTACAGCATGATTCACTCATAAAATTATATCTTTTTTAGTTGGCAGCATACTATATGGAGTGCAAATTTCGTTTACCTGCCAGTTTATAAATACTCCGAAAAATATCACTTAAATTAATATGTCATGAAAGTATTCCTTAACTTTTAAAATGTTACTTAAGTTCACATCCAAAGTTATAATTTCATTGAAAATGATTAATCATCAAAAGTGTTAAAGGTGGAAAAAATGTTTTTTCTTTTGCATTTAAATATCAGAAAAAATTAGTTTTTCATCATACAAAATGTTGATTTCTGTTTTTGCCATTATTTGGAAAGATCAGTGGCAAATTAAACTTGAAAACGCATCCGTCCTTAATTTTTCCAATATACCTCAATGGTTTTCTGTTGGAAGACCCTTGAAGAGCATATCGAGAACAAAGTGACCACTTGGCAATAAGACGTTTTTTTTTCCCAAAAATGGTTCGAAATCTTTTTTGAGAATATAAATCAATAAAGAAGAACATGGACTGCTTTGAGGGAGAGTGTCAGTCCTTAACAGCCGCTAAGGAAATCAATCTTCTTTTTCTAAGTCTTTAGCAGTTTTGTCAAGTCATTCAAAGTGATTGAGCAGAATGTTAAAATAAGTCGGACATTTGACATAAAAATCAGTGATTGTAAAATGTCAACCAATTAGCAAATCAATAATTTTTTCCTTTTGATCTCACCGTTTATTAAAAGACAAAAATCAATTAGATATTTGCTAGTTTTGCCTTCTATTTTAGTACTTGATCATTTTTCAGGAGCTGGTGAATGTGGCAAGTCAACCGTACTAAAACAAATGCAGTTTGTTATTAATTTTTTTTTTTTTTTAAAGCTATGCGCTTAGAATACAACTCCTTCTTAATTAATTAAGCACTATTAATTAATAAGAATTGGTTTTCTTTCGTGTTTAACACTAAATATACATTATATCCTGATCAATTATAGTAGATAATTAGAAATAACATTCATATTAATTAACATTTCAAAGTCCTGTTAAAAGGTTACAAAATTTTTAAAACATTATCAAAGCTTTATATGACATGCAATAGTGGAAATCAAATGAATTATTGTAGTTTTGACTAGGAAAAAAGGAAAAACCAAATCTTCAAGCTGTACAAACTAATCATAAATTTTGTTTTAAATTTATGTGAAATTCATATGAATGAATAGTTCTTTCTTCGATGATTGATCCCTCCTGAAACGCTTTTAACTTTTAAACATTTACGAAAAAATCACTTCGATTTATTAATTCGTTCCAAAATTGCAATGTCAAAATAAGTTATTTCAAAACTTTCTCAGGATTCTTCACAGCAACGGTTTCACGGAAGATGAAATCAATGAACGTAAAGCAGTGGTTTACAATAATACGGTGACATCGATGTATGCAATATTGAAAGCAATGGACAACATTGTCCACATTCCGCTCGAGGATCCCTCCAAAGAAGTATTGTTTGGATTTATGACAATACTCAGTTTCTTTTAACTTGTCATCTCTATGATAATCGATAAAGCGAATGCTTTGTGTTTGATAGTATAAACACTTCTAGGAAATCCAAATTTAATCTTGGCCAATAAGCTAGTTAGAGAATAAATGAGGTGCTGGATGGTTAAATTTCTGTCAATCCTAGTTATTGAATTTATTAGACAAGTTATGGAATGGAAATTTATCAAGACTACAAAAATATCGCATGATCAAAAAAAGAGAATATTATAGTCCGAAAAACAAATAGTTTTTCGAATTGTGGAGGCTGGCGATGAATCCGAACCATTTACGGATGAACTTGCTAAGGCTCTTGTCTCATTATGGAATGATAAAAACGTTCAAAAAGCTGCCGATATGCGGAGTGAATATCAACTCAATGACTCTGCAAAATAGTAAATTAATAAGTGATGCAGTTTTGAATTGAATTCTATAAAAAATTTTAGGCAAATAAATCTAATTAGTTGGCATAAAGTTTTAAAAATTTTTGAGTTATAATAATGAAGGCTTAGATTATTCGCACAGCAATTTGTGTATTTTACACATTTCTATTTGATGAATAGATTTACATACCGTTTCAGTTTCTTGAATTCAGTGATGAGAATACATGAACCCGGTTATCGGCCTACTGAACAAGATATTCTGTTTAGTCGAGTAGCAACAACTGGTGTCGTAGAAGTTAAATTTAAAATAAAGGAACTCGACTTCAGGTATTGTTCGTTGGGACAAGCTCTCTCTCTCTTTCTCCCCTTCCTTCTCTCTCAGTTATTGTATTTCTCATTTTCAAGAGTATAATATTGATGTTTGACATAATTTCCAATATTGAGAAAAAGAATTGAAAAAAGTAATTGTTTATAAACAGAGTATTTGATGTTGGTGGACAAAGATCAGAACGTCGTAAATGGATCCACTGCTTTGATAATGTAGAATCGATTATCTTTATTACGGCTGTTAGTGAATATGACCAAGTGCTTTTCGAAGATGAAACTACGGTCAGTTCGCAGTGTGAATTTCAATTTCCTTTTTCTCTTTTTTTTATGAACTTACAAAATTCGAAAAGAAAAACGAAAATTTTTCGAAAATTTCAAATGGGCTTCTCTAGGAGTGCAAAATGTTTCAAATTTGATGCTATTGAACATTATATTTTCTAAGATACTGAGAGTAATCCACTTTAGTCCTGGCTAAGTCTCTCATTAATTAGCACTAAAAGAACTTTGCGATTCAAAAAGAGTTAAATGTCATCATTTCCTTTGAAGTCCCCGTTCCCGCGTGTTTTCTTGTAGTTAAATTTTGATTTGATTAATAAGTGTTGCAGAATCGTATGATCGAATCGATGCAATTATTTTCATCAATTTGTAACAGCACGTGGTTTCTTTCGACAGCAATAATTTTATTTTTGAATAAAAAAGATTTATTTGCTGAAAAAATTCAACGTGTCAATATCACCACTGCCTTCCCGGATTATGAAGGTCAGCCTCTATGCACTTAGCTCTATAGAATTAAATGATTCAGGAGCAGAAATAAATAATTTTAGCTTCACGATTCGGCTTCAAACAAAGCTAAAAAAAGCAAAAAAGAGATTTTCTTAAAAAAATTCTTTGCTCCTATACGTCTGGTGGAGATTCTTTACATTTATATTTTTGATAGTAATAAATGGGAAGACAATGTTTCATTTTCCCATCTAAATCTCTTCAACTCCTTTTACAAACTAAAATTTTCGTTTACTGAATGGAAGAAATTTTTGTAAATAAAAAACTTCGAAACCTATTCATTTCTAAAAGTTTAATGATTAAGTGGAGTAAACAGCATATAACGTATCGCAACAATGGTTTTGTTGGAAGTGAAGTGAACTTTTTATTCTGAGATAATACATTAAGCAACTTTCGTCTTAAGCAACCTCCTTTTTTAATTTGCTTCATATCAGCTATACCCCAATTGTTCAATCTTATAGCTTTAGCTAAGACTTCATCAGTTGCACATAGTCTTCTTACTCTGACACTTATTCAACTTATAAAATTTAATTAAAATAGAATTACCTTACTTATTATTCAGCTGCATGCATAAAATACTGCTTATTACATTATTTTAACGAAGGCAATATTCTATTTCCCTTCAACATAGCAAATAAAACTCTCCACACTATTTCATAAAATTGAAAGCTCTTTTTGTGAAATTCACCTCATATATTTCGAGCAATATAATTCTTCAACTGGAAAAGCATTTAATCTATAGATTTATAAGAAGCGAAATTTAAAAATCCCACGAAACAAACAATTTCAGAATACTAAACCTTTCTGAATTAAATCCGAAAATTTGTTTCATTTCAGGAAAAATTCAAGTAATCAAAGCTAGTTATTGAAGAAGAAATTTCAAAGTAATGAAAAGTTCATTCCCAGAATAGCTGACGTGAATGTGCTACCATAACTGAAATGGTCCTGAGTTATTTTAACAGTAGTCATAAAGTCTATAATGATAATGACTATCAAAAGTAACAACAATATCAAAAGTTGAAACTGTGGACATATTAGTGAAAAATAAAATCAGTGATAATGGGAAATGGACTTTAGAACCCGAGTATTGAGGATTCCAAACTGTACCCTCGTGCGTTTGATGAAACGTAAAGCGGTATGACGGTCAATATTAGTCTTTATCTTTTCCGCTCCTTCCTTCATGGTTTTGCATTACCTTTCTTCACTCACCATCCTTCTTTCACTGTTAGTCAGATCGATCAGGTCACAAAATCTCTATCCTAAAACTTTATCATCCAAGAAAATAACCTCTTTTACGTACAACGGGATTATCGCAGTCGAAATCTTTGACAGTGATTTTTTTAGCTTTTAGCACGAAACTCTAAGTTATATAAGTGCTGTAATACGCTCCAATTACAACAATTCTAGATTCCAAACTTACGTTCAATAACCTAAAATGTCTCTTTGATGAGCAAAAAAATGAGCCATCGAACATAAACTAAATAGAGATAGCTGAAAAATCAAAAACGAGTAAAATGAAGCAAATTATACTTTTAGGTGGCCAGAATTACGAGGAAGCAATGAGTTTTATAAAAATGAAATTCAGCGAACTGAACTTAAACCCGGATAAAAAGACAATTTATATGCACGAGACGTGTGCAACGGATACCAATCAAGTACAGTTAGTTATAACGAGTGTCATTGACACAATCATACAGAAAAATCTCCAGAAAGCTGGGATGATGTGATTAAAATACTACTGCACTCTGATTCCCCTTAGTTTTTGTTGAGTATTGTGATTGATATATTTTGTAAATAAATAATGCACTTCACCTATGAAGGTTTGTCGATTTCAACTCCTAAGGCTTCAAAGTCTTTTTACTAGAACTACCGACTTTCATCCGATCTAAGAAATGAATTTTAAGGATTATACGAAATGCGCCCATGAATAAAAGAGCACCAACTACTAGCAGCTAAGCTTCAATGAACTACCGACTGTCGATATTCGTAAGTAAAAGTCAGTATATGGTTATCTTTTACCAGCAAACTATAGATCATTCGTGGAACTTCTCAGTCATAAAAATTTCCCCATGAGAATTGTCATATTCTTGACTTCCAAAAGCTGAAAAAAGAAAATTTTTTTCCGTATAATTGCATGAAGAAAAACTTGCAGTGCGCGATATTTTTTTTTCCACTATTCTGCTCCAAATCTAAATTTGTCATTGATATCAGTTTTATTTAATTCTTAATAAGTATTCGGCAATAAATTCAAAAAACGTACAAAAAAACGCATTTGAAAGCGAGCTATTATTTCACTAAGTATTTCAAATCGGTTCCTGCCATTACATCCGTACATTTTATTCGATTTCAGATTGTTTTTTTGCTTTGTTTCCTTTTACATTTTAACACTTCAGTGCAATTAACATTTTTATTAATCTCCATTTAACTCTTCAGCTTCTGCTTTATGTTCCCAAATCCATCGATTTTATTCCGTTTATTATTCTTTTTCTTCATCAAGCCTTTCATTTTCGAAACCCCATCTTTCAATGGCAATAAAAGTCGTTTCTTAGCTTCTCGTACTTTTTTCCTTTTTTCTCTCAGTTTGCGACGCCTTTCCAGTGATTTTTTTTGCTGAAACACAATAATGAATAATTTTATCACTTTCAAACAATTAAGAAGGATCATTCGATAAGCGAGAAACTAAGAAAAGGCTAACCTCAGCAGGGTTTATTAGCGGTTTTAGGTCATCGCCCGCCTCCCACTCATCATTAATCGTCGGATAGAGCACAGGTTTTTTAGCTGCAAAAAAATTTCCATAATTATAAATCTCTGAAAAATTTTAATCAGGGAACAAATTTGAGTTATTCAAATATTTCTAAAGCGGAATCCTTTGAAAAATGAAGCTGACTTTTTATATCTGGCCAAAATACAAAAGTTACTCTGAAAATCTGATAAAGTAACGATTCTTCATGCTCTCTTACTTTTCCATTCTCTTAAAATGAGCAAACTAACTGTCTGAATCCAGCACTTTCACTTCACCGTCTCCATATACCAAAACTTCTAAGCCTTCTGGTAATGTCGACAATTCATCAGCAACTGCTTTTTTGTCTCTTTTCGCTATGAGATCTTTCCTTTTCATGGGCATAGGTAAGCTGACCGCATTTCTAGACCCTACAACGCTGAATTCACGATGAAACTTAAAACTTTCTTTCCAAACGAGATAAATAAGGCTATTTGGTGATAGTTAATTTAATGTAGCTCAATGGGAACGAAATGGAAACGGAAACGATAATGGAAAACATTGAAAAAGAGACTGCAAAAGTCATCAAGATTTTACATTTCAAGAACTTTTTGATGCCAATGCAACTGTAATCCACAATTCAGCATGTATCTTGGCATTGATCAGGATGAAATGCAAAAACAACAAATCAGTTAAAAACAAACCGGCATCAACGTAGAGAGGTAATGACGGACCACCTACCACCATTTGTAGACTTATTGAATGAACATTGTATAAACCACCGGGGCAATATTGAAACACTCTGTCAACAGCTGCACGTACATTTTCTACAATGTGATCGATAGGATTACTCAGATTTCCGATGCGAAGACTCCTGGAATGAAATCATATGAAACTTCTTGAATTCAGTGAAGGATTTCGAGATCGGATTTTTACCGTAAGACATAGTCTTAAAAGCAGTGACATCGATGAAACATTCCAAAGCTAGAATACCTTAATTTGTAGTCTTAAATCTCAATGATTCCAAGCCAATTATATAAAATTCAAACAAACTTGAACAGAACAGGCATATCTAATTTAGAAAATAAAACAATAGTGGGAATGAAAACATACGTTCGCGTACGGAATGGAAAAAGCGGAAATGTGACGGTATAATACGCCTTCTCGATCTCCTTTACCAAAGATCTGCGTCGATGCATTGATAATCTCAAAGGAATCCTTCAAACAAACACTTTATAACTGTACACGGGAAAAACGTGAATGGAATATAACTTTTACATATAAATCGTTAAAATATGAATAAAAATTTCTTGGATATGAAAGAATGAAGAGTTTTGAGACTAATGATACGAAAATGGATTCAATTACTACCTACCAGTAATGAAATGAGCGTATACCGAAAGTCTTCCAGTATGCAAAATAAAAGGATCTTTAAATAAAAGAATAAAAGGATCCTAAAAAGGATCCCTTTAGAAGCCATATTTTTTAATACTGCAAATCCTTACTTTTTTGCCTTATGAAATTCTTTGCCACAAAAACGTATAACACTTTTCTCAACTACAGCGTCGACCAAAAAGATATCATACGCAGATGCCAGCTGACGTCTGTCGTAGTAAGAATGATACTCTCTTTCCAGTTGTCGCTTTGTTAAAACCTGTAAATATTAACTTTATCATTTTCTCCAAACTAATTACTAAAGGAAATTGTCATAAAACAAATGCTACTACAAATCAACGGCTGTCGACCTATATCATGATAGAATCATCACTTCCTGGGATGAAATTCACCTAGCCATAGATTTACTCTGTGCTAGATATTGCATTCCTTGCAAGATGTCTATATTTTTGAAAATGAAAAATTCCAACAAATGATTCGTACGACTAAAAAAAAGAATCAGAACTAATCAAAAGTATATAAATAAAACTAAAAAAAACGAAATTCAGAAAATACCTTCTGCACGTGCTCTTTGGTAACCCCGAATTCAAACTCCAATTTTTCGGTCCATAGTCTCGCTTGTTTGTCAACATCGGGATCAAATTTCGCTTTTGCCGATTGATCTAAGTCTCGCATAATCAAGCAGACAGTCGTACTGTCTTTTTCATACAATGCATGCGGTAGAATGCTGCAGAAAAAAAAAAAGTTGCACCGTCAGATAGCTATATTGCCTTTTCATGTAGTGAACGAGGTATAATGTTGTAAAAAAAAAAAAAAAATGAAACTTGCACTCTATCTTGTTCAATCAACAAATGCATAAAACTACGTCATTATGACTGGTTCTCCAAAATGATGAAGCTATCTGCGACTTACACATCAAACAACTGAAAACGTTCTACCAAAGTTGATCTACTCATAGAATACTTTATTCTTTAAATAGCGAGCAACAATAATCGCAACTCACAAACGTCTGACATTGTGCCCAGTGTGTGTACTACCCGGTTTCTTATAAACGAACTGAACATGAAGCAACTGGTCAATTTCAGGAAACAACATTTTCTTTCCACTTTTTTCACTGACTTTTAGTAAAACATTTACAGCTTCTCTAGCCTGTAACTTCATTCTGTGTATTATTAACATGCTGAAATACTTTTAGAATCTACAGAAAGTGAATTCAATGGAACTCAGAAGTACCTCGTCAAAAAAATTCCTTCCATCTAAAAGTTCCTGTAATCTTGTAGAAAGCATAATTCTGACATCAACAAATAGTTTAAGTCAAAAAATTTTCCAAATAACCTTGGAGAACCTAAATATACCTTTTGCTCTACCTGGTCCAAAACGGATGACACTTTAGCTTCATCATTTTTATTAGGGGAAATATCCTTTCTGCAATCATTATCGGATGAAATATTCATTTCTAAATCCTAAAATAGATCAAAATCAAATCGGTCATTACTGAATATTGCTTGTCCTTCATATTCACAGGAACAAAAAGTAGAGCAATTCATAAAACGAAATTATTCACCTGGTCAGGTAAATCTTCACCATTATCTAGATGTTTCATTTTGAAATCAAAAACCAGTTGAGAGGACCACTAAATGTAGGAATTCCTCGTCTTTCTTTTTTCTAAAATGAAACTAAATAATTACTCCAACCTTAAGAGTTCCTACTCCAAAAAAAAGAAGTGGACAGAGAGAAACTTCGTTCAATTTTCGACTCAAGAATAGTTGCCGACAAAGAACAAAATAAGGTGCTCAAAAATTCCGAAAAAATATGTGGCGTACATTACGCAAAATTACTGAAATCAAAATTCACACAATTAGGAATCACTTTAAAATTAAAACCAGATTTATAGTTAAAACCATAAATTTCATAAGCATTAGTTTAAATATATAAGAAAGAAGCATTTCTTTAGGCATTTATCGAAAGATATACGTTAAGAAATCGACATCAGAAAAGCTTTTTCCATACTTACTCCATGGAATCAACCATCATAAGTTCGCACTTCGAATTTCATGATTAAAAAGAGCGATTTAAAGACGATAAGAAAGATAAAAACAAAAAACTACAAGCGTTTGGTATCTCTGAGGAAAGCTTCATTTGAATCAAATAAAAATGTAAGACACAAATTAATCGAATATCATGAACAAATTATGCATTAATTAAAGGATATAAATTGTGCATTAATTAAAGATATAGGATTATATCTACTTATTATCTGTTAAAGTCTGGAATGAATACTAATAAATAATGCATAATATACACTGAAAAGTATGTAAAAAGTGCACAAACAGCCTTGTTTATTCCTTTTTACCACGTGCGCGGATGTTCTTAGGATACTGTTCGGGTTTTAAGTTTTTAACCGAATAAAGTCGAACTGCTCGCTCAACCAATGAACCACCACATTTCAAACCAAGCACTGAACGAAAAACTGTTGAATATTGGATCAAAATAATATTTAAAAATAATAATAATAAATACAGCTGAAAATGAAACTTGAAAGAGAAGTAATCTTCCAACGAAAAGTTGAGAAACCTTCAAGAGCATGCTTTAAGCGATCCAGCCCCAAAGATTCTAGTTTTTCTGCACTGTCGTAGTCATCCAGGTTGACATCAATATTTGTCATTTTACTGGTTGCTTTTTCCAAAACAGTACTTGACTTTTCAGCAATAAGCACAGCTGCAAACCAACCCTTTAACAGCTTTTTCAAACTAAAAATTAGAACGAAAACATTTCCAAGATCAAAAACATTAGCACATCCAAGATATATAGTAACTTAGAGTACCTGCTGTTCTCGGAGACGTTTTTTTTTCTTCATTTTCAGCATATTTTTTGCCTTCATCACTAATAGTGGCTATACTTCTGCTAAAATTAAAGCTATTTTATTTGAATTAAAAGTTTCGTAAGATAATCTGAAGTCTGAAATTTTCTAACAGTTACCATCAGACTGATAATGGAGTAAAATAATAGTTCATTCCAGTCTAGTTCTGCAATAATCCGATGGCATTTCCTTACATCTCACATAGATAAAACATTTCTTGTTTGTTGCAATCGCTATTCAATTCTTGAATTAATATTAAAAAAATCATTATTTTGAATTAGAATGCTGCCAGTGGGCACGAAGCACGGAAACAAGAATTACTTTTCGTCATCCAAACTAGGCGTCACACATTCAGATGTTCCATTTGCTGTCATTCGCCTTCGTTTCGACGGCACAGTCCCTTCCATGGAATTATCATCATCAACCACCTGTGATTCTTGTTTCGAGTTCAGTAAGCCTTCCTCATTAGTTCTCTTATTTTTAGCAACGGCAATGCCTAAATTAACAACGTTTTTAGAAGTGAAGATTTCTATTCAAATTTAGATGCAAGTACAACCGACGATGACCCTCTCGGCAACTCATAGCAAATTATTTTTATTCATCTCGGATAAAATTTTGAAAAAATATCTAGAAACGAAGCCTAAAGCTGAATTGCACACTACCAGCAACGCTAATCTTTCTCAAACCAATAAGATGCAAAAAGTCACCCTGTTCAAACGCTTCATCTGTTTCTTCCAAGATTTTTTCCCGCATCTGTATAAAATCGGGATCATTGAAATCATGTTTTAGAGGACCTGCTTTTAATTTCTCATATTTCTCTTGCCTGAAAGTACTGCAATTGAGAAGACTAAGAAAAGATGAACTCGCACTAGAAAGTCCAAGAAAAATGCAAAGTACAAAAACAGACGATGAGAGACTAACTGTCCAAAGAAAACGTACCTTTGCCGACGTTTCTCTTCTTCCCTCTCGCCTGCTTTTTCAATCCATTTGCGGAGCTTTTCTTCTTCCTTAATGTCAGCAAGCCGTCGGCCAGATAAATCGCGGCACATTAACTGATTCGTTGAACGGTGAATACGAAATGAGCGAAGCAGCGAACCAAAGCCTGAAGAGGGCGAACTTATTGGAAATAAAAAGCAACATTATCATAATAACAATGTAGAATAAAAAATGAGAGACAAACTTCAACTTAAAATGATGCATCTCATACCCAAAAAAAAAAAAAATAGTCGGATGACTCGCATTCGTCTATCTGAGGCTTATAGGGTCATCTAAACCTGACATATGATGAACGTCAAAAACTGTGACGTCTAAAGTAGACAATGCACTACAGACATTTTTGGCTGCAATAAAAATGAAATATAAAATCAGGAACCAACCTCCTTTACCACCGCGAAGTCTGAAGTGCACTTGGAAATGAGTGTTATTATCCAAATTCTTCCAGTCCACAATTTTTCCATTAACAGTGACGTAGAATAAATCTTCCGGTATCAATTCAAGTTCAGCAATCGTTCGGAAAGCAGAAGTGAACATTTCTTCAAATATTAGTTGAGTTGAAAAACAAAATGAAATAACATTAAAAAATCAACTCAGAAGAATCTAAATCAAACCAAGTAAGTTATACCAAACGCAATCAAAAATAAAATAGTTACAGGACGGAAATGTTAACTATCATCCTCAGACAGCTCATGCCAACTCCTTCCTCTCGTCTATGCTCTCCCCATCTAAATAAATAAGTTTCAGTCCATACGGCGCACCGCGTTATATATTGTGAAATACGGCGAAGCAGACCGCCCTCTGTGAAATACAGGAAGGCATTCAAATTGGCGTCAAAACCGATGTTTGAACAGTGGCGGTGATGGTATGGAAGAGTTCTAGGACTAATCTGATACGTGTAGTCGTCTGTCTCTTTATAGTGTGATGGGAGTGGAATATATTGGACAGCTAATGGGACTTTATAGTAGGCTAAACTTTTAGCTAGGAAAATCCTGCTTGATGGAGCAGTTGTTGTGGGGGAAAATGACTGAGCAAGAATGTTTTATAAGTGAGCATTGCACATATATGAACAGATCACTCTATTACACAATCTGTAAAATGTCTCCTCGTTTTACACTTAACTGTCCTTTTTATTTGGCTATATTGATTGCTTCTTGAAATTCTAAAAATTTCAAACTGACTCTTTTTTGTACTGTACACTTACGCCTGCTGCGTGCCATTCTCTTGTTTGGCGCTGTCTTTATTAAATGATAAATGTTAGCGAGAATGTCCTATAGTATATAGCAGTTGAATTCCTACTTGCGCACTGACTTAATCTTTCTGGCTTAGTAATTTTCTAACGTAAGATGGGTTCTAATTTCTGACCCAAGTTTAAATTCGGTTCTGTCTAATTACATTTATTTTAAATTAGTTGCATATGATAATTCAAACTGAGAAGGAACTACGCGATCAACTGCAGGTGTTTACAAATACAGTGGTATGTACTTGCATATATCTTATAAAATATTTGCATACCTTGTTTTATATTTTTGCTTGAATAATTAGAAGCGTTGTAATAACGGTGTGAAATGCATACATAAATTATTCCTCTTTCCTCTATTCCTTGGACTTAAATTTGTTTTGTTATGTAAGGTCGGATGTTGGGTGTCTTATTAAGTAATTATTAGCATTTATTTTCTATTAAGTTGTTACTGTTTGCTGTCAAGGGACAATTTGTCTATAAGTAAATATATTTCTAACGGTAGCGTGTTATACTTGACTAGTTTTAGTTCTTTACAATGGACGTTATGGCGTCAGTACTAAAAATTTTTGTTCTGTACACAAATTCGAAAGGACCTGCAAAAGAAATGATAAATGCTGTGGCGTCACAACATTCATCATTTCTGCTTCTGGTAGAATGTCGCAAAAGTTATTTTGGTTTGATTTGAACCAAAAAGTTTGAATGATGGGCTTCCTTTTTACGCTGTTTATACAGGCGGTGAAGTTAATTTCTTGTCGAATGAGGAACAATCTTCGCAAATTTAATGGTAGCAGTTAACGTGATCCAATTTTTGCTTAGAATAATAGTATATTGTCGGAAGATATTGTGGCATAGAAATATAGTTTGATATGTAGCTAAAAAGAAATTTGAAAAAAGTTTCGGTATTTATTTGAAACATCGTCTAAGGAGAAAGGAAATAATAGATAAGCATAAGGAACGAGGGAAGAGAGCATGCGAAATATCACAGAGGCTTAGTATTGCTACGATGAAATGATGACCTTGTATTCACATTCTTATCTAATTCACCTATGTAAGTGGAAATCGTTCTGGTTTATTTGCATTCTTCTGCAATACGCGATCCACTTAATTGTATTTCAACAAAACAAGTACTATGCAAATAGTCAGTAAACACTTGCCAGGTTTGGAGCAGCGTCAGCTTGTTTTTGTCTCTAATCTCATTTTAAGATTAAATTAAAATAATTTGGGATAGAGCTCTTTGTATTACTTCTTTAGCTTATATGGATCAGATGATGTAATAGATTGCCAAAATATAGGTAGATAAGAGATCTTGTTGATCAAAAGTACGAGTACATAGCGCATTTATCATGTCTTGATCAATGGTTAACATACTTCGTCAGTTGCTTAGGTAATACTGGAAAGAAGATGGTGTCTCTTTGGAGTTTTATACGTTTAAAGATAAAATTGAATGTGTTTTAGTAATGAAGTAAAAGCACATCGTCCCTAATTTTCAGCATTATTTTTAATCTCACGTTTACAGTTTACAGGTTACGTTTACAGGTTATAGGATAACGAAAATGGCAACAGTGTTCCCACGTCCAGCACCTGGTGATCCTATGATAGGCCATCAACTGTCGGACATTTCAACACTACCACCACAACCTGTACCATTTTTACCTATAATACCTCCACCTCAAGGAACTGTGTATTTTCAACCGCCATATGTCTTCCCTAGCGGTTTACCACAACCGATGTTTTGCGAGCAACCGAATGTTCTACCGTCGTTCGAAAACATTCCAAGGGAAGGTCCGATGAATGACAATGCCTGCACGATGCAAGGCATGTTTTTCCGAACTGTAGTAACCTCATTTTTGAATGGAATGGTAGCATATTTGTGTTGTACCGTAAGGCCTTTGTTTTACATAAGTCGTTAGATATTTTGAACCTATTACAAAATGCAACTTTATATATGATTTTATTTATACGTAAGTGCATCCCTCATTATTTCTCAGGTATAAAACTGAAATGTGGTCGTTCCCAGGTTTCTACTGATTATGTACGTTTCACTGAACCAAAATTGATAATTCATAACCCCTCTCTCAGCTGTTTATTTCTGTCCCAGTATATTCAAATAATGATTTATAGAAGCGGCACCGGAATTGTCATCGAGTGCGGTTTTCTATTCACCACCACCGTTTCCTATTACTTTTCCGCCCCCAATGCATCCTTTTCCACTCTTTAGTCCTTACATACGTTCTAGCCCCCTTCTTTTTTTTTACCATTATTCTCTGATACTTCCGTATCTGGTAATCCACTGCCACCATTACCACCACCTCTGCCATCAGCTTGTCCAAAATCATCAGTCCTACAGTCATTACCGTCTTCATTTGCTTCTGCACCGTACCAGAGTTGGCCGATAACTAACACTACATCGCAAAGTCCAACCGTAAGGATAACACCGAGAAAGGATAGCATTTCATCGACCGGTAATGACTGCTCAACTTTTTGTTGAAAAACGCTAGCCGCTAATTATACAAGTAAAGTGAAGTCAGATAAGAAAACTTCATTCAAGAAAGCTAACAGGGTAAAAGTATTTCCCGGATACCCTTGAAGAATGTTTTAAAAAAAAAAAGGTATACACTTTTTGAACTGTGCTCACACTAAAAAGTCAGTGCTGCAGAAATATCTATGACGAAAATAAATTTTATAGGCTTTCATGATTTCAAGAAATAATTCGGTAATTGGGAAATTATTTTTTTACAATTTTACAAAAATTACCAAAAATCGTTTTCTCACTGAGAAGAAAGCGAAATATTTCACTCAGCATTTTGAACTTAAATCACTAGAAGTTTTTGTAACATACTCACTACAAGCAGTTTGCAATTTTATGGATTTTTTGACTGTGCATTGCAGGTGCTAGCCAATCGTCACTCAAGTTTTCCGGAAATGATGACTGCAGGAATTCCCAACGAGACAGCTCTGTGAGTTAACCATATTTTTTAATTTGTCTCAGCTTATGTCAAAAATTTTATGATGGATAAGTGAATTCGTGAAGGTTTTTTGGTTCTCTAAGACTAGTTTACTTCAATATCCTTTTTATGCTAATTTAGCATATGGTTAATTCTTAGAGCATATATCAGTTTTCTTAGAAGTCTTGTTATTGATTGTTAAGCTCTATTTCTCGAGTCACAAACTATTTGTAAAGATGGTGCGCTTTGAACCCATGAACATTTTGATAATTGCAGAATCGGACTGAACTGATGTATCGGAATAGATCGGTTACGTCATTGAATAACTATCGCACTAAGCTTTGCACAAACTTCAAGAATGGTCACTGCCGTTACGGTGATAGGTGTCGATTTATTCATCATCCAAGTTCGTTTTTATTTTACTGTAAACAAATGGCTGGTGACAGTTAATGAAAAAAAGTTCTCCTGCAATTATTTAGTGATTTTGCCGCGTAATTGTTTCCAAAATTTCAGCACCAGATGGTGTAACCAAAACAAAATTTTCCACAAATGCTCCTGCATTCGTGCCAAGAGCTAATGCGTAAGTTCTAGAGAAGGATAACTCTATTTAAAATCTTTCGTTGTAGTACCTTAATTTCTCTTATTTGATTACTTTTGGGTAGAACAAAGAAAGAAATTAAGAAATTTATCACGATTAGAAGTTAGAAAATATTCAGATTTGAAACTGATTGGAATTATAAATAGAATTTAGAATGCATGCTAAACCAAGCAGTCCTTCTGCTTCATTAGATGTAGTTCCATCGAATCGTCTGTACAGTTCAACGCCCATATCGTTGCTGGCGAAAGGCCAGGGCAGTGGCCTGGATGTGAAGGAGAGACCAACTACGCCAACAGGACGACGAATATCGTATCGCCAAGATTTCAGCGCTGGTTATCGACGACCCTCTGTGGCTGACGGACCTCATCCTTTGCCTACATGTTGATTTCAAACCTGTAACTGCTTTTAATCCTCTAATTTGATCTCATATTTTAATTCTGTTTTTTTATCTGAGGGACGCATTTTTACTCTGGATTCTTGCTAATTTGGGTGGAAGCTATCGGCATCGTATGAGTTCACTTTATGTATACAACTGAAGATTCAGTTGTCATCCCGCATATAACGATTAAAAAGTATCAGGACGAGTAAATCATTTATGCATAGAGGAGAGTATTTGAATTTCAAAATACAAGGCGTTTAATGATTTGCTACATTGATGTATAGTCTTGGAATGCTTTTTGTTGCGGAAAATAACACTGTATTTTGCCTGAAATGTCTTCATCTTCCGTGTTAATTTTTCAAGCTTTCAAGACTTGGAGGCTCGCTAGATAAGGTTTTTAGCTCATAGAATTTTATTTTTTCTGTTCATATCTAATTTGTATGCATAGACATAAGGTGCTAGCTACAAGCTTCTCGCACCGTGTTTGATTATTCTTGATGCAGTTCCTGAAACTTTCAAATTTTGTGCTTCGAATCAAACATATAAAGTTTTCTGATTCCATCATTCACTTGCGCAGTTTACGTTTTTGATGCATTGTTACGATTTTAGGTATATCTCAGTTATCACACAAAAATGCTCTAGCAATGCACAAAAGACTGATTCAACCGAACTAAAGCAGTGATGTATCTGTATAAAAGTAGTTACTATAGGAGTGGGTTTTAGTTGTATCTTTATGAATACTCAGTCATTGGAGACGGGGTGGAAGCAGGTCGCGGGGCGGAAGCAGCTCATTTATACGAACACAATGCGTTTGAGAACGTGACAGGTGGTGGGTTTTCAAGGCTTTCCGCACTAGGAGCAAAGTGTGGCAGAGTGGCACTAAATTGGTAGCGTATATGGTTTGGCGTTGTTGCACACTGTTGTCAAATGGAGATTATCGTGTTTTTTTGGCTTAATTATTTTGGGTAGTAATGAGTGTTGTGATTGGAAGTGGCTAAGAAGGAACGAAATGGTTGGAGGAGAAGATTCTCGAACAACCGGGTTGTAGGGCTATGATGTGTTTCGATATCAACCACGGAGGATGCCGTGCTGGCTCGGCAGCACTGGTGAAAAAAGCATTGTATGGTATTTTCTTCCAAAGACAAGTTGTTGTGTTGCATTATGTAAGTTGCAGTTGTGAGATATGTTGCATTGTATGCTATATTTCCAAAAGTAGCTTTTTTTACAAAAATTTCTCGGAATTTCAGTTTAACTCTTCCAGAACGGAGAATAATAGGAGTTATCGAGCGATAAGGAAGTGTTTGTGGAGAAGAGAACGGATAAGGGACAGGTGGGGAAATGTCATTGTCGATAGACCAAGCAATTAATTTTTGTGTTCGTGTTGCTGTCGCTACGGTCGCATCGATCGTTATCATGAAACTCGCGGTTAAATACATTGACCCCAATCATGTCATCAACAAAAATGCTAAAAAGAAGGTTAGCTTGTTCAGCTAAGGAATTCACTCAAAAAATCGAGATGGCTTTCAAATTGTTTATTAATGTAAATTAATGAATTGCAGGCTGCTCAAGTAATGAAGACGTTAGGCTTAGACCCATCAGTAGAACTTAATGAACACGAACTGCGTATAGCTACACAACTCGTTCACTGTGGTCAGGTTAGTTGCATTCAGTTTCTCAATTAATTTGCACTTTTAGTTTTCATTTGAACTTTATTCAAAGAAGATAGTGTTGCATTCTTAGATATATTATGGAAATGGAATTTGTTTCATTAATATTGGATTCCTTCTCCTTCTGCCAAAAATCATCTCCTTGTGCTAAAAATCATAGAGAAATAGTTCAAATTTTTAGTGGATGGATACAGCCTGCCATCCAATGTAACTATGCTCTGGAATTTATCCTAGGACCTGGATCATAATATAAATTGAATATTTTAGGGATTAAATGTTGCTTCCTAACTATACACAAATTGGATTTCAGGGTTCAGATTGGTGCGATATTGGTGGCTGTGGTGCACTTATTGAGGAAATTAATGATCGGATAATTATCCCACTAAAAATTCGCAATGTCTATAAGAAATTTGCACTGTCATCGAATCTTTTTTCTCCGCCTAAAGGTAATTTAGCTTATTTTACTTCTAAACAACGCATCAAGCATTACTGAAAGGAAGAAAGGGAAGTAATTTAGTTATTTCCTTGGTCGGAATGAGACAGTTATGGAAAAGATGGAATCAGATTGCAGTGGAACATAACCATATAGATACTTCATATAACTTTTCAAAAATTATTGCTTTTTCAAATTTTTAGGACCTTTTTCTGTAAATTTCTGCGAATTCCGGTACAATAAATTAAACAATATTTCAGGGGTGCTTTTATACGGTCCACCAGGTTGTGGTAAAACTTTACTTGCAAAAATTATCGCACGTGCAGCAAATGCTCGTTTCATTAATTTGCAAGTGTCATCGCTATGCGATAAATGGTACGGTGAATCACAGAAGCTTGCCGATGCAGTTTTCTCCGTGGTATATGTTTCAAATTTTGTGTAATTATGCGATGTGATCTATTTTCTCGAAAATGTTTTTTATCACAGAATGGAAGAATGTTAAAAGTATAAACCTATGCAGTACTAATCCTCTCTCTAGTGAACAGAACAAGAAAAATTCATAACAGAGCTTTTTTTATTACTTTTCTTTTGTAAAATATAAATCTTTATAGTGTTTCCTTTAGTAAACCCAGTTAACTTTTTCAGGCACAGAAGTTCCAGCCTACGATCATCTTCATTGATGAAATAGGTAAGCGTGACGGTGCAGAATTTTTTCATTTAGAAATTTTCAGCATTATTGTTTCTGTATGCTCGTCCACTTTTATATTTTTCGCGGTTACAGATTCGTTTTTAAGAGATCGAAACACCCAAGACCACGAAGCCACTGCTATGATGAAGGCACAGTTCATGTGCTTGTGGGATGGTTTTGCTTCATCAGGTTAGCGTAGTTGACTTACTGCATTAGGACACACATTTGCCTTGTATTAAGTATGCATACGGTACTCCTAAATCACGTTATTCAAGCTCAAAAGATGCAAAAGTTCGCAGACATAGTTGTCGTTTTTGTAGACGTTGCTTTACATTCCTTTAGACGATGCAATCATCGTGCTCGGAGCAACCAATAGACCAAACGATGTTGACAGTGCCATCTTACGACGAATGCCTGCACGATTCTATGTTCCTTTACCAGTAAGCTTTGACTGCAGTTTTTCGATTTTTCCATTTATAAAAACAATGAATTTTTCTGAGAATTCTTTTTTAAAAACCATAAATTTTTCCGGGAATTCTTAACTCTTGTAAAAACACTAAATTTTAAACATAATTGGCATGGTTTTCACACTATTCGGTGATTTCAGAGTTTAGAATCTCGAGCAGATATCTTAAAAGTTTTGCTGAGGGATCAACCGGTAATGCCAGAAATCAATTTTGAAAGAATAGCGGAATACGCCACCGAACTAAGCGGATCTGACTTGAAAGAAGTATGTCGATTGGCTGTTTTATCGCGAGTCAAAGATGCATTTATCAAAGGAAAGGACTTGTATGTTTCAATTTTTAATTTTTTCACAGAAAAACTAAAATAACTTTCTAAAAACAATTGTAGTTATCACTGCTTGGAGTATACCTATTTAACTTCTCTTCGCGCATAATTTTTGAGATCAGTGCGAGACGATGGTGGTAAAGTATCATTGTTATTTGATCTGAGCTACTTCTATTTTAGAAATAATGAAGCTACGCGAATGATTCGTGAAAGTGACATAATACAATCAGTAATGAAGTATAAACAGACGATACAGGTTTCCGGTGCAATACCAATTTTCGAACCTCTTGATTAATGTGGACCTAGTTTTTTTAGAATGATCAGAAGAACCTAGTAGCTGTTCTTAGGACAACAGATCACATTTTCTTTCGTTGACTCTAGTCATTATTTTGCTTACCACGACATATTTTGGTTTTAATTTCATATCTTTTGAATTCAGTGTTGTCCTACTGTTGTGTCAAATGCCTCTTGCTGTTGGTCCACTTACATATATCTCAGATCAGCTTTCCGTCGATGAACCTAGCAATTGCTTGTGTTTCCAAGATCAATTAACCTTGTTTATTGGTTCAACATGAACGACCGGGATTGTGACTTAAGTTTGTTGTGTCGATCACCATTTTGAAGTCGTTTTTCTAATGCTGACGTTCAACTGGAACTTGTGGTTTTTTTTGTTTTTGTCGACATTCTACAGCTATTAGGGTAATAAGTCGTGAGTGGTGTAAAATATAAAGCCCTGAATTTCATGTTATACCTTGTTATATATCATTTTGCACGTTTTATATTTGCTG